GAATTTCACCTTTAGAATAGAATCAAGCCAAAATAATAAACAACCATAACGCTATTATATTTTTTAAAATAATCTGACGAAGATTGAATATTCATACGCCTTTTGTTAGTTAGTCATAATTCTTTATTATTTGAACCGTGTAAATGTAAACATTGTTGCTTTTTGAATTTCTGAGGGAGTTGTGAAGATTTGGAAATATTTCAAGTTGTTATTTATCGTGGACTAATATCAGTTGGAGGAACAAAAGAAACTTGGGAGCACCAGACAGCTGTTTCGTTCGACTAGTATGGGACTCCTGAGCAATGCGCACCCACAACCCCCCCCCCCCAGGGATCGAACCCGCAACCTTCAGGTCCCGTGGCAAGCGCATTAACATTGAGCCACTGGGTCAGAATCCAGTGTTCCATATTTCCAACTTCTGTTAGCTCACGATATAGCGCAACCGCCACCCAGTGTCATCTATGAGTAACTGTCCTCACGACCGTCAGGCTTTGACTCCACCGGTCACGACTTCTCATTGGGACTTCGCGAATACTCCCCGAGGCTAGTCACCAATGAGCTAACAGAAGCTGGAAATATGGAGCATTGGATTCTGATCCAGTGGCTCAGTGGTAACGCGGAACCTGTAGGTCGCTGGTTCGATCCCTGGAGCTTGGGGTTGTGGGTGCACACTGCTGAAGAGTCCCATACTAGACGGATGAAACAGCTGTCCAGTGCTCCCAGGTTTCCTTTGTTCCTCCAACTGATGTCAGTCTACGATGAATAACAACTTGAAATAGTTACTTTTTGTCTCTTCTTGTTCTTCTTCAAAATAGACCGTTTTCTCTGTGTCAAGTCATTATATCTTTTCTATTCGCAAGTATAACTGTTCATATTATATGACAGTTTTAATTTACGCTTCTGAATCTATCATCAAAATGAGTAATTAGTGAGAAAAGTTTTGTATGTTTTCACTTCATTGACTAACTGGATTGACTTGATACATTTACAACCTGAAACTCTTCGATCAATATTTTCGCGGGGTAAAAAGATCAGCCAAGAAAAAAATTGAACTGAAAACTCAGAGCGAAAACTGAAGTTTTGTAATATTACCCCAAGTTCTGCCTCTTATTTTTTTGGACACAGATTCTTTCAATTTGCCCAGTGTTCGGAAAATGGTCGTACATTTCGCCGTGAAATTGTTTACCAGGTATAGTTCATCAATTCAGAAAATGCCTACCTAATAAATCTTGGGATTTTGACTGGTCTTCAATTGATACCACTGTTAAAAGCACCAATCCTAGAACCAATGTATCTGACTGACTAACTGAGCGGCTGGCAAAATCAATATAGAGCCTCACACACAGGTACATCGGTTCAATTCGTTCTACTTCAAGAACCAGTATAAGCTAATTGAGACCATAGATTACTATGACTTGAGTTACCAAAAAAGCGAAAGGAATGAAAACATGAATTTCGAATGATTTTTATCAACCGATCAGGAGCATTTTTGTGTATTAGAAACTGCAGATAATGTATATATTCATGACTTGAAACAGGGTGGTGTCTGGCCATCAAAGCCTAGATTAGGTAGTGTCTGGTGATTCAACATTTTATCCAACATTGATACTCTCTTATGGTGATAATTTATCAAACTGTAGCTTATTCAGTTCGTATATTTTTTTGAGTTGACATAAAATTTGGATATATAGACCAAATATTCAAGGCTTAGTAAGTAAACTCCACTTTTAGCCTTGGTTAAATCAATTCTCCATAATAAACCATTTCTAACAGTGAATTTTTCTTTTCATCACCTATATATCCTTAATTCTGTATTCAAAAGCAATTTGTCCTTACATTAAACCTACCCTGGTAAACTGTATCTCATTTCAGTTAATACCAAGGGGCGTATGAAAATATATATTACTCCCTCTTACTATCCTCATACTCTCCTAATCTTGAATTATCTCAATTTCCTTATCTTACCCTACCCTATTTTCACCTAACATATAAAATGCCTTGAAAAGTGAATATGTGACCAGACCCTTCGATGTGTATTGTGTAAGCACATTACACTTCTAAGATAATCTGCTTTTTCTCATTACATTATGCAGATTAGCATCTGTTTTGACTTTTATGACAACTCTCTCTGAAAAAAAATTGATTGAGAAAACTCTTAAGGTGAATAGAGGTCCTACGAAAGCTTTTCTGAAGCATGGAAGAGAATACAATGCAAAACCGAAACATTCGACTGTTTAGCATTCAATTAAGGGGGATAAGATATAGGAAAAAATAGACAAACAGATAGACAAACGGTGTACCGAAAAGAAGCTGTCATTCTACAACTTTTATATCAGTTTAAAACATTATATGCTCATCCAATCCATTTAATGTAGATAAATAACCTTCTCACATCAATTCCAACTGTATTTACTATTTGCTCGGAATTTTGAAAGCAAGTAAATGTGAAAGACTAAGAAAAAGGTATCTAGTGGATGGTTAAAGCATTCCAAAACAAATTTCTATTTGTAACGAAGCAAAATTTCGACAAATAAGACAGCCTTATACACCCAATGGAAATTGGATACCTAAAAGTATTTCTGAAGTCTTCAGTATGATAAATTAACAAAAACTGCCAAGTTTATTGAGCTTACAAACCTGACTGAGATCTTTTTTTAACTTGAAAATTTGTTATTTAGGATTATATCATAAATTCTGTACTTCCATACTCAAAAAAGGAAGGAGAAGAAAATTACAAAATGTTTACCAATTACTTTGGTTGTAAAATATTTCTCATAACATACTGGACTAAAAATCGTATGATTTTTGACACGTAATCAAAACAACTGTGGTGAGGCGATAAATCTTGATGAACTCTTACATTATCATCATCATTAGTCCTGTTTTCATAACAAATTTCGGCATTTGTTTTACCCTCTGCAATTTCTCTCATTACATTTTATGACTTCTAAAATAGTGTTATAACCTTATCGCCAATTGTGATATTCTTATAGTGACAACTTGATATAACTTAAGTTATATGTATGTACGGACGCCTGAACAATAACCTTCAAATTCCATCTCTTGACGATCTTTCAGTTTCGTTTTAGATAGAAAAAGCAATAGAATAACGGAAGGTTTAATACAGCGTCCAGATATATATATATATATATATATATATATATATATATATATATATATATATATATATATATACAACAGGCAATGGTTTATATATATTTACAATGGCCTTGACCTATTCCCGGGCCTTTCTAGGTTCGAATATCCTATCAAATTATGTCACTTCCACTAATCTGATATTTAAAGGTTAGTTTATGTGCTTTATTTTAAAACTCTGATAAAGTAGTATTTGATCAAAAAGGTTTCAAGGAGTTTACGGCTTCTCATGCAAATTTTGATAATTTTATTCTACACGGTAACATACGGTAACTAGAATCGTAAAGTCAATGATACATATTGATATTGACTGAACAATGGTATGCATCCCTTAAATAAAATCAAAGTCAGTAGACAGTTTTTATTGAGGAACCCATACATAAAGCGGATTTAGTCTCTCCAAACAGGAGTTATTTAGTGAAGTAACAAACGAACTTGATGTCATACTGAAAGGGTATATATAAATGCCAGATAACTAAATTAAAAAAATATCAGGTACTAATTATCATTGTGCTTTCATTGCGAAATTCGATCAAAGATAATCAGTCCAACTACTTTAAGTATACATTACTAAAACTCTCGTAGTGTAAAGTAAAAAGACATTATGATTATAATTAACACAATCTTGCAGACAGGAGGGGCAGTTTTAACTGATCAGTTTTTCTTACTAGTATCCTGATCACTGAATACCATTGATTGGTAGCAATTTTAGAATATTTCATGTCACTACTAGATTTTAATAAAAAGGACTAAGTATTCCTTGTTCATCTTCTGAATACTTCATTAGTTAGAACACTGATCCCTACAATAAAACTAATATTATATAAGTAAGCGAAAAATGTTTAGCACATTAGATAAACTCAATTAGCCAAGAAGCCAACACATTCAATTTCTTTGATCTGAGAATCTTACAAGTAGTTCTAAATTTGAAATATTTCACTGACTGATTCGAATCCATCGTTCTTAGTCAATAAACTTCGTTAAGTGGACCAACACACAAGTACATCCTCAACAATTTTAGTAACTCACAATCTGGTGGAATCATCATGTGAGCGAGATTGAGGTTAGGTGAACGGTAATAGGAAAGACAGGCAAAACGATTAATGAGGTTGTGAACCTCCGTCGACTGAGATGGCTTAGATATGTACTTCACAAGCCAAGTCACCGCCTACCATAATGTGCTATGCTAAGGGGAGTTGAGTTAGGTTGGAAGAAGGTTCGGGGTGACCAGATAAAGATGTGCCACCAGTCGATGAGGTCCCTTACTATTAATCTGAGTTGTGTGGAGAAATGTAGACTGTCTGAATTAGCGATCCACGAAACGACAGGAATTAATGGTTAAGTAGTCTCGGAGATATGACTGGAACTTGGTTCCAGTGATCCAAATGAATTCACTCTTTGACATCTTTTTACGCTCGAATAGTCGCATTAACCTTTATCTACAAAATGTTTATTGTATCACACAACTGTGTCTACTTTGCGATCACTTTTTCTTTGTATGCTACTGTGTGTACTGTGTACCAATGTTGTTCCTCTTGACATATAACAATCGTTAACCTCACGAATTTTTCATTATTCGTAAACAAATGAAATTCGATGCTTTGAACTTTTGTAGGAGTTTCGCTAGTGACTTTCATGCTTTACCAAGTAAAAGGCAAGTCAACAAACCTTGTGATTCAATTTTATCCAGAGAAACCATCAAATGTCAATTATTTAATTGATAAAGAAGAAAAGACAATGATCTCCTAAAAAAAACTGAAACTATCCAAGCAAAGTTTAGTTTTACAACATCAAAAAAGGTTCCACTATTAAAGTATAGCCTATATTCGAAAAAATAGACTTACCTACAACTCAATTCTTCAATACATCTAGTTGTAAAGAAATGCTTCAGAACAGATAACATTTGGCTTTGATTGCACAACAACGTTTCAATGCACAATTTTGGCTTCTATAAAAGAGACAATAGTCGTAGTGATCAGAAAAGTATATATGTTCACATAACCAACTGCTAATATTCTCATCTTTCATATTCAATTGTCTGGGTAATAATGCATTCGACAGTGTAATTTAAAGTTATCAGACGGATGACTTTATAGCTGTTAAGATGGTGAGCAACTATTATTACTGTAACAAGGAATCATCTCTACTATGCTGCTAACAGTTGAAATTTTTTGCACGCTACTGATTCACTTCAGATGTTTTTTAACACAGATCTGATTTGCTAATATTATGTTTTCTAGTGCGAGAGGTGATACCATCAAATTTTTAGGTGAAACCCTTGATGATTGAAGTGCAATCATTAGGATTTGGTCGGCAGATAGGACTCGTGGCTCAGTTGGTAGAATACCGGATAGAAAACCCCGAAGGTCGTTAGTTTCAATGCCATCGCGTTTCAGATTTTCATCTTACCTTCAATCATCACTGAGTATCATTAGCCGTCTAACTTGCTAACCAGCAGTACAAAGGGTTAATGAGAGATAAATGAGTAACCGATCCATACAGTTCTTAAATAATTTCGGAAATAATTTCTTTCAATCATCACAAACAGGTTTTATCAAAGAAAAACGGAAAATAAGTATTTCTGAAAAATCTCCATTGAGCACATAAAAGGGTCACTCAGTCACACCTTATCAACTTCACTTCGTAAAAACTAACAGTGAAATACAAATATATTTTTGTTTCAAATCCTCTCAAAAACCAGTTACGGAATCACATACAAAATGAATTAATTTACGGTGACTCGCTTCCAGAGGTGATTTCTAAAGGTGTAGTGAAAAGTCGTGACCGATGAGGTCAACCAAGGTGAACATGGGGACAGTTACTTAACTACGGCTTTGGATAGAGGTCAAGATATACTGTGAACTGACAGAGGTAGGACATGTGATTTTGTCTGATATGCAATCCTGTCCCAACCAAAGGTAAAACACTTTAAATTTCAGAGAATCTCTTCGGTAAGTAGATCAAATTGAAAATAATCAACAAGTTACTTGATGCTCCAAGTGGAAGTTATATATTGTCGAACAATTCAATCACTAGATGACGGATAGTAAGGATTCTAAATCTTAAATGCTGACTGCCACTGAGTTCGAAGTGTTAAAACAGTTTAAATAAGGTGTAAGTCCAAATCTCCCAGAAAATTTGAGTTTCGTCAAACATATAGAAACGTGCCGGTATCTTCGTACTGCTCTACCGAACATCAAATCTATTTTCAACTTACAGTATACGTCAAAAAATCATCTGATATACAATAGCAGCCAATATCATTTGAAAATATCTCATGTTGACACCTTAGTGTTTGCAAGAACCAACACAGAATCACGCTGCAATCTACCCAGAGCTAGCAAAATATTAAACCGTATCATCCTGGAGGGATAAAGCATACGATGAATTCAAAACTACGAAGAAAACAAACTGCCTGGCTGCATTCAGGAAGTAAAAATCAATGTGCCGATCAAATTGCATCGCTTCACATCATAATAGAACAGAGTATAGAATGACAGTCAACTCAACTTCATCCACTTGGAAAGGCTGGCTTTCGATAGCGCCCACCGAGAAGCAATTTGGCAGACAACGGCTTCAACACTACGGAATACCACAAACCTTTATCCCCCTCATTCAACAAACATATGAAGACGTCACATGCCAAGTAATTCCCAAGGGGAAGCTCAGTAATGCCTTCAAAGCGAAGTGAAGACGGAAAGGAGTGAAACAAGGTTGCCTACTACCACCCATGATATTCTTGATTGTGGTCGACTACACTGGGTCATGCAACAGCCAACAGTGAGGAGCTGTGAGAAGAGGGGGATACGCTGGCTGGGCAGAGGAAAACAGCCTAGAAGATTAGGATTTCGTCAATGATGACTCGTATCTAATATCTTGTGGCATAAACTTGAAGATGTACAGGTGAAAACTAACAAGCTGGCAGAAGAGGCGAGGCAGTGCAGCGAAAACGAGACTATAAGGGAATGTAGAGGAGATGGAGGTGATGAAGATACTCAAACAACAACAACAAGAAGAAGAAGCTCCAATCACCATCAACAGGAGAAACTTAAAGGAAATAGCCTCCTTCACCTACATGACTAGGCAGCACTGTTTCAACTACAGGCGGCACAGGCACACACGACGACGTCAAAGCAGCCACGATCGGAGAGACAGCAGAACAGGCATTCGTTAACCTGAAACCAGTGTGCAGATCTAATGCACTGCTCTCAGCCAGCATAAAGTGTGAACAACATCCAGATTTTCAACACCAACACCAGTCAACTCACTGCTTCTGTATGGCTCAGAGACTCGGCGCGTCACGATAGGGATTTCCAACAAACTACAGACAGTCATCAACAACTACCTACACTGGCTCGATACTGAAGATCAGATGGATTGCCAGAATAATAATAGTAATAATAAGCAAGAAGGAAGTCTGGTTGGCTGGCTGGTAACGAACCAACGAAGAAGCTATCGCTGAACAAATATGCATTGGAAGGAAGTGGAGATGGATTGGGCATAGACTGAGAAGGCGGATTGGGGACATCACGTGTCAGGTCGGGTACTCGAGTGGGACCCAGATGGGAAACGGTGAGTTGGGCGTTTGAGGTGAGGGTGACATGGAGGATATCGTGTGAGGGGGAAATGAGAGCTTGTGGGCAGTGGTGTAGCCAGGTTCGAAAGATTTTAGAGAACAGATTTTAGTGGAGACGTGCTACTGAAGCGGTATATTCCATTAGGACCTCAAGGGACAAGTAATAATAAATCTCATGTTGGAACCATTCAAAACAAAAGGGAATGAAATTGATTACATTTTTAGTGGATACTCACACTCTTTTCGCACTTCATCCCGATTTTTACCTACTCATTAAGAATATTCACAAAAATGCTCGTCAAATACACAACTAAAGTTATTTATGGTGCATATAGTTTTTTTTTTGTATTACGAAAGCATAAATTATTCTGCTTAGTCTTGTCTCTATACTACAGTATTTATATATCCTCATATACAAAAAAAGGTTTCTTTTTCCCAACAGAATTACCTCATTTTTCAAACATAACTATTTATTCTTGTTACAGCATCATTACTGTCTCCGTCATATCGTAGACAGACACAAAGGAAATATATTCACGAAGGATTTCTACGACGTCGGAACGGATTCGCATCAATCATTATGCCAAAAAAAGGAGCATGGTCTGAATATTACATGCATAAAGTTTTTTTTTTTTTTCAACAGGAATATCTTTATGCAACTTCAACTGGAATAAATATTTTTTTAACTGAAGTTTTTTTCTTAACACAATTGGTTAGACAATAATCTTTTTTTTTAATGAAATCTTGACATAGAACTGAACTGCATGTATAAAAAGTGTGCCTACACAAAAATGATACCAGTCAGTTTGCGTAAACTGAAATAAAACATTCATGTAGGAGTTAATTTTAAAGGTTACTCTAGCCAATTGCTGAAGTAAGCAATTAGGTTTCTTCAAATTACTTACACCTAACTAGTTATCTCAGCAGTTAGTAGATCAGTTTTTAAAGTCACTCATGTGTAAAATGTATCTGTTCAAATGTTGACATAAGTAGTATTTGTAAGCATATGTGCCTTTACAGTGACTATTGAAGCAGTTAGATGCTTTCATATGTCTATAGATTGATATGAATCATGTGAAGCGATTCAGCTGTGACAAATCAACATTTGTAGACATTTGTGAACAGTTTTAGAGGGGTAAGGCTAAAAGTTATCCCCAGATGTTATCATGCTCCTTATACATTATCTAGTTGTTTGTAAAGATCTTAATATTTTCTATATTTTTGTATGAATATTTTAATTATTTGGATGGTTTTGTAATAATGTCATCTGTCAATAAATGGTGTTTCAAATCATTAATTTTTATGTTCAGTGTTGATTATACTTCCACTTCTTAGGTGGAAAGTAAGTACAGTTTATTATATATTAAGTTAGTTGAAGCTTCAACTTACATCCAAAATAAGGAATTAGGATTACGGTTTTTGTTTCAGAATGTATATTTACAAAAGATATAAAATATATTTTTTCAGACAGTATCTATCCTATAATACCTGGAGATAACTTTTAGTCTCACCTGTTTTAGAGCTGATATATACTTATTCAATTTTATAAAATTCATTTTTAGAATGAATTTATCTATTTATTTATTTATTTATTTATATTTATCTTAATAAAGCTGAAATAATCAAGTATCCTAATATTTACAAATTTTTTTTCATAAACATTACCTTTGTAAAAATTTTTGCAGATAAATTTAAAGCTGATAATATTCCTTTAGGTGATAGCATAATCAAATCAATTGCATCTTCAGAATCTAATGATGAATTAATCTGTTTATGCAGATCAAATATTTGCTCTAAACATTGCCAAATTCTTTCAGGTATTCGAAATTCTATAAGTGATTGATACATCATATTTCCTGTCTATGAATAAAAACAGATGAATATCATAATTTCAATAATAAGTTCATTTTGAAACCAAAAAAAAAAAATAACAATGAAATCTTAGACTTAATCAGTTCAACTATCATTCAACAAATTCTATTTGAGTTGTCTACTCAACTGTAATGTGACAAACCTGTAACTCAGCCTTTTCATTACATTATTCTTAAACGCCTAATTTACAGTTCAAATACATATTATTCGTTTAAGTTAACTACTCACTTATATTACTAATTTTGATATAATACACTGTGCTACTTTCAACTCAAGTAGAAAAGCAACAAATAAACATAAGTAAAGTAGTTTAATTTACCACCTTTCATTATAGTATAGAAAGAAGTGAGACAAACATGATACTAATGAAGAACACCTATTTTCAAAACGCCCTGCCTCATAAATATCTTCCATTTTCAAAGAGCATACCCAAGACAAGACATAAGAGATGAGACAACACAGAAGTCAACTTGTCCTCGGGTAAGTGAATTATATATCTTGCCAATAATAAAAATGTGGTAACCTTGTATATGCCAAATAACAAAAACACAAACAACATGAGATCTTTTAGCACGTAGATTCTCATACAAAATGAACTACTAACACAGTATTATTATATTACCATTTGTCCCATGCGATCATGATAGAATATACAGCTTCAGCAGCACGTCTCCATTCTACTCTGCTATCTGAAATCTTTCGAACCTGGATACACGACAGCCCACAAGCTCTCATTTCCCCCTCACACGATATCCTCCATGTCACCCTCACCTCAAACGCCCAACTCACCGTTTCCCATCTGGGTTCCACTCGAGTACCCGACCTGACACGTGATGTCCCCAATCCGCCTTCTCAGTCTATGCCCAATCCATCTCCACTTCCTTCCAATGCATATTTGTTCAGCGATAGCTTCTTCGTTGGTTCGTTACCAGTCAGCCAACCAGACTTCCTTCTTACTTATTATTACTATTATTATTCTGGCAATCCATCTGATCTTCAGTATCGAGCTAGTGTAGGTAGTTGTTGATGACTGTCTGTAGTTTGTTGGAAATCCCTATCGTGACGCGCCGAGTCTCTGAGCCATACAGAAGCAGTGAGTTGACTGGTGTTGGTGTTGAAAATCTGGATGTTGTTCATACTTTATGCTGGCTGAGAGCAGTGCATTAGATCTGCACACTGGTTTCAGGTTAACGAATGCCTGTTCTGCTGTCTCTCCGATCGTGGCTGCTTTGACGTCGTCGTCTGTGCCTGTGCCGCCTGTAGTTGAAACAGTGCTGCCTAGTCATGTAGGTGAAGGAGGCTATTTCCTTTAAGTTTCTCCTGTTGATGGTGATTGGAGCTTGTTGTTGTTGTTGTTGTCGTTGTTGTTGTTTGAGTATCTTCATCACCTCCATCTCCTCTACATTCTCTTATAGTCTCGTTTTCGCTGCACTGCCTCACCTCTTCTGCCAGCTTGTTAGTTTTCACCTGTACATCTTCAAGTTTGTGCCACAAGATATTAGATACGAGTCATCATTGACGAAATCCTAATCTTCTAGGCTGTTTTCCTCTGCCCAGCCAGTGTATCCCACTCTTCTCACAGCTCCTCACTGTTGGCTGTTGCATGATCCAGTGTAGTCGACCACAATCAGGAATATGATGGATGATAGTAGGCAACCTTGTTTCACTCCTTCCCGTCTTCACTTCGCTTTGAAGGCATTACTGAGCTTCCCCTTGGGAATTACTTGGCATGTGACGTCTTCATATGTTTGTTGAATGAGGGGGATAAAGGTTTGTGGTATTTCGTAGTCTTGAAGTAACTGCCAATACTAACATATTGCCACCACTTTATTATCCTTCAGCATAGCCAAATACGATCATCCCTTGAAAAATAACATGTCAACATGACATGCAGTCCATCAATAAACATAACATTTCTGTAGACATTTAGAAAATAAATAAATAAATAAATGAAGAGCAAAGGTAAATTGTAACTGTTTTTCATACAGTTGACCTTCGCATTAACTACACCGCCTAGCAGAGATGTTTTATACTGTTTGAAAGATATTTTGACCGCATTATTTTACCTAGGAAGTACCTTAATATCCATAATGATAGCTAGTCAGAATACGATCAATTTTTCGCATACAAAAATTCATGAACATTTGTGAGAGATCTATGGAAACAATACATTTACTTCAAACTTTAGAATACATTCAGTTATTTCCTAATGTTATTCTTTGTTTTGCATAATATTAAGTAATCAACAGAAGGGTACTTTCGAATAAAGAACTAAACAGGTTTCAGACCGGTCTCATCAATTTTCAGGGAGGGGCTTCGATGCATTTTAGGTCCGAAATTGATATCACTCGTGAGTTGAACTACACCTTTTAGATGAAGGCTACGTTGGTTTCATAAAACTTTAGGTGGAGCAGTGTTTGAATCGACGAACCACTTAGTTGAAAATCAGCTCCATACACCAATGAGCCACAACTTTATGTGTGATGTTAAAGTGTCATTAGGAACAAAAATGATCAAGAAATGATAAGAAATATTTCAGAATCGAATATAGCGAGCGGAGAAAACTTCTCGAATGCACCTAGTTTGATCATCCTCCTTCTCATCATTCAATTACAAGTTACTTTTACCTTTCTTTAATTTTGACGATATTGTCTCCACTACTCCATATGACATTATACAATACTCGTGCTTTAGCGCAGAAAATGCTCCATGCAATCATTCACTGGTCAGGTTAACTTACAATTGTCCCAACTAATGTTCCAGATGGACAGATGGTTAAAATCAGAGTAATACGTCACACAGAAGTGCATCACTTCAAGTTGCTATACTTCGCAGTAGTACAAAAAGAACATATGGACAGAAAAAGAGTGATATCAAGGTATACACAATTGTGTGAGAGAATAAACTATTTAAAAAAAGAGGTTAGTGCTAATATTCAAGCTTTAGAATACGTCAAAGAGTGGATACACATCACCACTGCGAAGGACTTTCAGATATGTTAATAAGAACCCTCAACACTGGTTCCTTTCATCTCGCGGGCTCCAAACACATTCCACATCTCACACAAATCATACCGAACGTAAGAGACTTTGTTGACTTGCCCTAAATCTCAGTCTTGACAGACTGCTTCCTCTTCCAACCTAAATGCACCACCACATAGCATGCCACGTCGAGGTGAGGGGTGGCTAAGAATGCCCAAAACATGTCCAAGTCATCTCAGTCGACTAAGTTCCACAACCTCATAAATCAGCTTCCCTATCTTGGCTGGTATTCTTCTCCTGACTTCAGCCTCCTTAACACGAGGATCCCACCAAACGCAAGCAGTTCTTCGAAGACGTCTGCCATCAAAACCCAGTGATCACTTCATGTGTTCTACTTTCAATAGCCACATTCCAAAGCCGTACACCACGACAGAACGGACTGCAGAGCACTATGATCTTCCCCTAATCGACAGTTGCATATCTCACTGATGCAACTACCCAAATAAGTCAAGTGATCAACGCATTCAACCACTTTACTCCCTATCACCAACGTCGCCTTCATCTAAAAGGTGTAGTTCAACTCACGAGTGATATCAATTTCGGACCTAAAATGCATCGAAGCCCCTCCCTGAAAATTGATGAGACCGGTCTGAAACCTGTTTAGTTCTTTATTCGAAAGTACCCTTCTGTTGATTACTTAATATTATGCAAAACAAAGAATAACATTAGGAAATAACTGAATGTATTCTAAAGTTTGAAGTAAATGTATTGTTTCCATAGATCTCTCACAAATGTTCATGAATTTTTGTATGCGAAAAATTGATCGTATTCTGACTAGCTATCATTATGGATATTAAGGTACTTCCTAGGTAAAATAATGCGGTCAAAATATCTTTCAAACAGTATAAAACATCTCTGCTAGGCGGTGTAGTTAATGCGAAGGTCAACTGTATGAAAAACAGTTACAATTTACCTTTGCTCTTCATTTATTTATTTATTTATTTTCTAAATGTCTACAGAAATGTTATGTTTATTGATGGACTGCATGTCATGTTGACATGTTATTTTTCAAGGGATGATCGTATTTGGCTATGCTGAAGGATAATAAAGTGGTGGCAATATGTTAGTATTGGCAGTTACTTCAAGACTACGAAATACCACAAACCTTTATCCCCCTCATTCAACAAACATATGAAGACGTCACATGCCAAGTAATTCCCAAGGGGAAGCTCAGTAATGCCTTCAAAGCGAAGTGAAGACGGGAAGGAGTGAAACAAGGTTGCCTACTATCATCCATCATATTCCTGATTGTGGTCGACTACACTGGATCATGCAACAGCCAACAGTGAGGAGCTGTGAGAAGAGTGGGATACACTGGCTGGGCAGAGGAAAACAGCCTAGAAGATTAGGATTTCGTCAATGATGACTCGTATCTAATATCTTGTGGCACAAACTTGAAGATGTACAGGTGAAAACTAACAAGCTGGCAGAAGAGGTGAGGCAGTGCAGCGAAAACGAGACTATAAGAGAATGTAGAGGAGATGGAGGTGATGAAGATACTCAAACAACAACAACGACAACAACAACAACAACAAGCTCCAATCACCATCAACAGGAGAAACTTAAAGGAAATAGCCTCCTTCACCTACATGACTAGGCAGCACTGTTTCAACTACAGGCGGCACAGGCACAGACGACGACGTCAAAGCAGCCACGATCGGAGAGACAGCAGAACAGGCATTCGTTAACCTGAAACCAGTGTGCAGATCTAATGCACTGCTCTCAGCCAGCATAAAGTGTGAACAACATCCAGATTTTCAACACCAACACCAGTCAACTCACTGCTTCTGTATGGCTCAGAGACTCGGCGCGTCACGATAGGGATTTCCAACAAACTACAGACAGTCATCAACAACTACCTACACTAGCTCGATACTGAAGATCAGATGGATTGCCAGAATAATAATAGTAATAATAAGTAAGAAGGAAGTCTGGTTGGCTGGCTGGTAACGAACCAACGAAGAAGCTATCGCTGAATAAATATGCATTGGAAGGAAGTGGAGATGGATTGGGCATAGACTGAGAAGGCGGATTGGGGACATCACGTGTCAGGTCGGGTACTCGAGTGGAACCCAGATGGGAAACGGTGAGTTGGGCGTCCGAGGTGAGGGTGACATGGAGGATATCGTGTGAGGGGGAAATGAGAGCTTGTGGGCTGTGGTGTGTCCAGGTTCGAAAGATTTCAGAGAACAGAGTGGAATGGAGACGTGCTGGTGAGTTGGTTTGTCCCATTAAGAACCCAAGGGACAAATAATTTAATAATATAATCCATGTTAAAATGAACAGATTTGTATTAATGGGCTTTTTCAGAGTAACAATGTGAATACATCAGGAAGAGCGCAAATTTGTGTAGTCAAATATAAAATACCAGTTTGACTATCTGAGATGGTTACAGTTTAGCAGACTAGTATTATTGACTGCAAGTGATGATGAGGAAGAAATGAAATTTTTTTTTGCCATGTAAGGATTCAAACCAGATATCAAAGGTTTTCTGGCCTGTGCTAAGTAACCTAGGTCTTGTAGCTCAGTTGGTAGGCCACTGTACTGAAAACCCAATGGTGTAAATCTTTATCTCACTATCAATCATCTTCCAGTAGCTTGTAGTTGTTCAACTCCTAAGAAATTATATAATACTGAACAAACTTTATTTAAAATCTTTCAAAAATATCTATGTCGGAAAAACCCAAACAGGACGAAATGCGCTTCCTAAATTCCACTGCTAGCCACTGCCCATCACTAACATAATTAGAAGGCAGGAAATATCGAGGCATCCTCACAGGAGCCAACATGCCAATAGAGACCGATCAATTCGGTCCAATCAATGACGGTATCGTATAAAAACAATTATACTAAAACTATACCCGTCGCACAAGAAGTGGCTATCGTGGCTAGTTAAGTGGATAAGTGGATAAGGCGCTGGCATTTGAAGCGATCGCTACCGAGTCTGAGATGGTTACAGTTTAGCAGACTAGTATTATTGACTGCAAGTGATGATGAGGAAGAAATGAAATTTTTTTTTGCCATGTAAGGATTCAAACCAGATATCAAAGGTTTTCTGGCCTGTGCTAAGTAACCTAGGTCTTGTAGCTCAGTTGGTAGGCCACTGTACTGAAAACCCAATGGTGTAAATCTTTATCTCACTATCAATCATCTTCCAGTAGCTTGTAGTTGTTCAACTCCTAAGAAATTATATAATACTGAACAAACTTTATTTAAAATCTTTCAAAAATATCTATGTCGGAAAAACCCAAACAGGACGAAATGCGCTTCCTAAATTCCACTGCTAGCCACTGCCCATCACTAACATAATTAGAAGGCAGGAAATATCGAGGCATCCTCACAGGAGCCAACATGCCAATAGAGACCGATCAATTCGGTCCAATCAATGACGGTATCGTATAAAAACAATTATACTAAAACTATACCCGTCGCACAAGAAGTGGCTATCGTGGCTAGTTAAGTGGATAAGTGGATAAGGCGCTGGCATTTGAAGCGATCGCTACCGAGTCCGAATCCTGGGAACAACATCACTCATTGGGAAGCAGGTACATCCAGCTGATGGGTCCTAAATAGGACGAAATACGCATCCTCGATTCCACTGCTAGCCTTGATCCATCATTAACAAAATCGATAACTGACAAACATTCCGCAGTTACTAAACATGAAAATGACTAACCTGTGTACACATAATCTGAGCTAAATTGAATAAACCATCAAGCCAACCATGATTAGCTGGCCATAGAAGTTGTGGTAAACCGAATGTTGTTAAAAGATCCATTTCAGCATGAGAATCACTGACATTCTCTTTTGAATTAGACACCACTCTAGGAGTTGATTCATTTAATGCAGCTAACAATCTACTACGTGCAGTTTGACTTTGAGCAATTGGTGATACAAGAATTAATGACATCGCTTGAACAATATCATGTGGCTTTACAGGGATTTTAAACTCTTGTAATTCATAAATTTGAGATAAAAGTAAAGCTGCTGCAGCCTTATTAGATAAAAAAAAGAGAAAGAAATGAATTTATTTTCGATAATGATAGCAGACAGTAAAATCTTTTAGAAAAGGATTGGTTTGTCTTCGGATTAGAATCTTTTCATCCGTATTTGTAGTGCAAATAACTTTACTGAAACTCAACACCTAGGAAGTCATTATGGAATGGGCAATACTTGAATTTACATAGCTGAGAGTCACTCGAATGTATTTCTGAGCACTATCCTACATGACTGTCGAATGAGAAATATAAATCAACTAACAGCTGAATTCTTAAACATTTGGTTAACTCCAGATATATATACGCCAGAGTCCTCCTTCAGTGTTATTTAAAGAGCCACAGAGAATAGTTAAAGAGGAGTGTAATTTCGACAGTTGCTCACGGCAGAAGCCACTGTCAATTCACCAAGTCAATCCTAATCCCTGCGTGTGTGCACTAGCTCAATGTTCAATAACAGACTTATATGTTTGACATATAAATACGATTCTACAGCTTTAAGAAATTACACCGTTGTAGATCATGAATTTACCATTTTATTTATAAAACTTAAGTCAGAATCCCGAATTTTCATTGCTTTTCGCTAAAATTCAACAACATAATCATGCCTAAAAGTGTTATCATTTGCAAAATGAAAGGAATGCATTGCGTAGAAGGTAAATATGAAATATGAATAAAACCGGAACAAAAACATTCGCAGAATAAAATAAATCTGTCCTCACTTCCGCATCCCATTGCAAAGTTCATATTTGAATCTGCGTATAAGATGTAGATGTGATGTTACAGTTGAGAAAACTATCCACAGGAAATACATGTAGATTGGTCATTGCCTTCACTGCAACAATTTCTGTCTTGTTAGCTATAAGCGTAGTTTAATCACAGCTTTCAATCTCATCAGATATAAATTGCCGCTGATTTTGACCAAGATTTTTGATTACGAATCCTGTGTGTCCTCGATTCACTACCATATTGTTGATCCTGGATTTCAAATCTTTATTTATTTCTGCATAGTCAAAGTATGTTACGTCACTATTACTACTAAGATTTCATTTCAGTTGTAGGCTAATTGCAACTGATGAAAGGCAACGAAATTAAATGGGATCGTTTTATTCGGCAAATGTTTTTGTCCTTGCTTTATTTAAATAAAATTTTGAGGGAGTTGCGGGGGATTTGGAAATATTTCAAGTTGTTATTCATCGTAGACTAACATCAGTTGGAGGAACAAAGGAAACCCGGGAGCAATGGACAGCTGTTTCATCCGACTAGTATGGTACTACTCAAAAGTGCACACCTACAACCCCGCCCTCCAGGGATCGAACCCGTGAGCAAACAGAAGTTGAAAATATGGAGCACTGGATTCTGACCCGGTGGCTCAATGGTAATGCGCTGGCCACGGGACCTGAAGGTTGCGGGTTCGATCCCTGGGGGGGAGGGTCGTGGGTGCGCACTGCTGAGGAGTCCCATACCAGGACGAAACAGCTGTCCAGTGCTTCCAGGTTTCCTTTGTTCCTCCAACTGATGTCAGTCTACGATGAATAATAATCTGGAATTATTTAAATTAGTCGAGGGAATTACATGCATGACAAACATGAAATGGCCCACTTCCCCCTCACTCCTTTTTTTATAAACCATTTGATAACAAACCATAAACATACCATAGAAACATCAATTTCAATGAAGATTATGAACAACGAAACTAGTACAGGAGGAAAACGTGGGTACTGTGGTTGATTGTAATTCCATTTTAGTCTGTTCATTAGATATATCACACAGTGAAACAGTATCATTTATTGGATAACGTTTCGAACACAATTTATTGTCCATATTCATACCAGGTGACTCTAGAACTTTGAGACGGAGTTTATATATTCCTAGTTTTCTCTCCTTGTCTGTGATGACAAGGCTGGTAGAATTTTCCATATATCTGGGATAGGTGCAGAATCATTTCGATTGCTGCATGTGTTGGGTGTTGATTCGAAAAACAAAGATTCGGTTATCAGTCTCTCCCTTCATCCACCCAACTAAGTTAGTTTTGAACGCTGTCGCTCTATTCCACCCTACTATTTGATTGTGTATAATTGCGTGCACAGCTATAACCGTGCTTTCCTCTAAATTTCGTATCTGAATAAGACCTACTAATCTTGATTTAGCTAAGGTTTGTCCTCTGTTATTTTAATCGAACCTGGTCGACTACTTTGATCTATGTATTTGACCAAACTATGGAGCTAATTTCAAACAACTAACCAGATACACTTTTAACAAATTGAAGGCAAAGTATCAATATTTGAATGCAAAAACAGGACCTAGTATCGGTTTCCGCTATCACAAACTCTGACAGCATAAGAATTCGAAATCAGACAAAAATGCTATTCACGCTAATGAGAAGCAGGATGTAGGAAGAGAGGAGAACTCCAGCTACAAACCCAATAAAATGTTTGGCCATTAAAAGAAAAGACAATAAATGCATCCGTATCATAGTAAGTAACCCACTGACCTCAATTTTAAACATCCGGTGGAATTCCTGTCTGATCCGATAAAACATTCCATGGCTACTATTTAACTGCAAATTTATCATGTTTACTAGAGAAGTATGAGACAGATTTCATGTGAGAAGTGCCTATTCAGCGGTTATTAACTCATGAAATGTACGTCACAACTACATATAATTGTAGCTGTGTCCCATTAGTTTAGGCAATTGACTTACAACCAGTGAGTGGCAGGTTCGAGGACCGCTCCACCTACCGAAGTTTAGGCAGTCAGATAGTGACATCAAACCTCACATAAAAAGTGTCACCGATTGCCTACTGTATGCGTTCGCGCATGGTTATCAAGTGCTCTTTGTTCGTTCGTACATAGGATTGAACCGATAAACTTTATCCACATTCCAATAGGAAGCAAAATAGCACTGGTAACTGGAATTTATGTGGTGAATGTGACCTGCTCCATATGATGGATGGTGATTTTACAAACAGGAATTTCATCTAACATCTACCTGACAGAAATCCTTAACATAACGTTCGACAACTAAATGGGGTTATCAACCGTTAAACACGAATACAAATTAGCAACAGAACTTCAAGATAACAATCATTTAACAAGATTTGATGGTCTCAGGTTCATTTTTCGATGAAATGTAAGATAGTTTGATGGTTTGTAAATTAGGTCGTAACACCTGTGAAATTCATAATGGTATTCAGTGTTTTACTAAATGAACATCGTATCACGATGAATAAAAACTTCAAGTAATGAATCACTTCCAAAAAACAGTCTATTAAAGTGATTTTTAAGACTTACTGCATGACTTGGGACGTGTGACTCAACAAGCATTTTACAAAATTGTGCCTTGTTCTGCAATATCCTTAAAAATGAAATAGAACAATGAAAAAGTGATCACAAAACAGAAAATTTTTTAAAAATAGTGTCAACGAAATTGATATAAGGATTTTTGGTCTCATATACCAAATACGTAGTTTACCCAGGTTGAACACAGGTTTCATTATGAAATAAGATACACATCCTAAGTAGTAGACACTCCGTTAAATATAGACACACAGAAGCGATCCGTTTACTAGATTTACTAGGTCACACAATGTAACAAGACTTCATTGTTCGATGGTCAGGTCAAAGCACAATTCATAAATTCATATGCCGTCTATGTAAGTGATAATAAAAACAAGGCAAATTACGTAACAACCGTTGTAACAATTTAAAAATCTCTACAAAACTCATAAAAAGCAGAAACTACCGGTAAAGTACCACACTTTTCAACAATATTGTTCCCAGACTGCTCGACTACATATATATCACACAATTTAAAGGCGCGTGTTTTCCACAGTAAATTGACGAAAATTCAGTCTTGCGTAAACATCAGGAAGTATTAGCTAGAGAAGGATTTAAGTTAGATAGATGCAATCGGCGTGAAGCTCTGCTCAATCCAGTTTTCGTGCTAATTGGCATTCGTCAGTGACGCGCACCTGAAACCTCAACGGAACTGATATCCCACCTGAGATGTGAAACTGCGTCACCCAGTTTTGTAGTCATCAACATTAGCACCGAGCTATTCAGGCAGCGAAATAACTATTGTTGGATAGAACTAAGTACACTGATTAGTCACTCAGGGACAAACAACTCCATGTTGCCTAATCCTAAGTGCTGATCGTATTCTATAGATAATTTTGCAATGTGGCCACCAGACTAGGGAGCCCAGTATCGCGAAGCACTCTTATAGATACTAGTTGAATGGTTATGCGGTTGGGAATCTCAGGTCTAGGGGTTTCTGCCGATCATACTGGGAACAACATCACTCACAAGAGTGCAGGCACATTCAACTGACGAGTACGAAATACGACGCAACGCGGGTCTTGGATTCCTCTTCTAGCCCCAATTAAGTTACGTATAGCAATAAAAACACAGGCAATAATAGTCCATATGCCAACAGAAGTTTATCGATTCGAACTTATATAACAACGGGGAATTACAAGTATATCAACAAATAGCGGTAACTGAGACTGTTATATCAATGACTATAAAGACTGGTACAGGTAGATTAACGAGTATTGTAGTCGATGTGCATAGTTACTTCACTGTATATTTTTTCTAATACAAACGAATCCGAAAAAAATTATCCTACACCTGGCATGCAAGAAATCAGGACAATGCGAAAAAGATTATTAGCACAATAAGTAGTCGCAAACCAGTGTTGTAACGTTTTGTGCAAATTTTCAGACAACTAAATCGGTATCGATAATTTTTCTAACGAAGAAGGAATCTCAGGTATGTTTACTTTTAATCAATCCAAGTGCACTTTATATCAAAAGTATCATTCTTGAAGTTGGTTCTAAATAAGAAAAAAAACTTCAATATAAAAACCCCCTAATTGTTTGACAATTTACAATGGAAAAAAAACGAAAGATGATACATATGATTTTCTGTTGAGTTTACAAAAGTTAGACAATGTCACCTTCATCGATTGTTAATTATTCCAGTCAGAATCAAATTTATTACCAGTATACTTTATCACGTATATTGTACTCTTCAAATACAGAGATAGACTTCATGATATACTCGCTTCAGGACAGTTTTCCTTCGAAATCCTGCACAAAGTCAAGCTAGACAGCTCAAAAAGGAGTGCGAAATCGTCACTTACATGTAGTATAAGCGATGACAGACGAAGTCTAAGATATAAGTTCAGAAGAGGTACGTACATCCATTCTCACATTTTGCCGTGGTCATGATATTTTTTTTGGAGTCTCGTTATTGTTTTATTTTTAAAGTGGTATTCATCATAAACTGAAATCACTTGGCAAACCATTGAAAACCTAACAGCAGCATTATCCACTCTCTTCTCAGTAACAGACTCCTCAGGACTACCCACTCACAACCCTACGCACCAGAAATCGAACTCACAACCTTCAGGTTTCACAGTGAACGCGTTAACCATTCAGCTACTGGGTCCACAGTCTTGTAATTCTGTCAATTTGGAGTATATCGTGACTACCCAGCAAGGTCTGTGGTTGGCATCCGCATCACTACTGACTGGTTGATCCCACAGGTTACGACTTCTCATTAGAACTCAGTCAATATCAACATAGGACCAGACATCACTGCGTAACTGTCCGAGTTGCCACACTACATCAAGTAGAAAGGTAGTGAGGTGAAGAATGAAGATAAGAGAATGCAGTCAAAAGAAATATTAAGTACGAGAAGAAAGAAAAGAGGAATGACAAAATGGCGAGACTCAGTATAGCGTCGTTAAGATGAGGACAATGTGTATACATCTGCGCCACTCATATCACTTCTCAGCCATGCCATCACCCAGAGTCAGTCTCCAACCACTGGTTCCTCTTGTCCCACCGACCCCAACCACCTAGTCTGCATCTCCCTACATGGCTCAAACCAACGTTCACAGACTTCATACATTGGTGCTATGTTTTAGTCTGGCCACCTCAGGCCTTTTTCCAGCCTGAACCAACTTCGGCCAACATTGTGTGACTAGGCATCTGGAAGCATTTCATTTATGAGTTGTTTAGTTACAGGTCGATAAGTATTTTATTTTTAAGGTAGTATTCATTATAAACTGATGTCAGTTATTATTGCTTTCAATCATCACCCTGGTCGAGGACACTATGATTACGAATCCCTTTCTAACTGTGGAATTCACTCACTATTTCACTGAAAAACCATTCCCTTTTAATTGCTTAATGCTGACCTATTGGCCAATAATGGACTCATGTTTTCTTTGCTATTCCTACGATAACAGAGCTGATGAAACTGATTTGACAAAAAAAACGTTTTCATCACTGAACAATTTTATGTCTCTGAATATTGCAATGAAACGTATTACTGAATATTGTACGGGAAACAATCAGGAACAATTGAAATAAAAAGTAAATCGAGGCAAGTAACTTTATTTCAATCTTTAACAATGATTATTGAGAAAATCGACTGATAAATTTTGGCTACTACTAGAAAGATAAAAGAAACAAAGTTAATTCAGGTTGTTTACTGGATAGTCTTGATTCATTTAGCAACAACCGTCAGGGTGAACAACTCATACTATACACCGGTTAGACAATGCAATATACTTCCAAAAAGCCAAAATATTGAAGGGACTTACAAATAATTTTGAAAATAACAATATGTCGAGAAGGCGGAAAACAGGTACTATATCATTCTTCTGATGTCATCATAATATAAAGAAAATCAAATATGTTAGTTGAATGGAGTCAGTCAACAGGAAACACTGATCAACCTAGGTTTCGTGCTTATCGGCATTCATCAGCAAAGCAAATTTGCGACCTCAATAAAACTGGTGTCCCATCTGAAATTAAGACTCACGTCACACAGTGTTGTAGCCAGGGACATTACCAGTGAGCTCTGTGGACCACTTATGACATCCTGTAGGACTGGACTCCACGTATTGAAGGATCACTGGAGTGTAACCAGTTTCATCCTGTCTAGCCCTATGTGCTGACCAAATTCAATCGCTTAGTTTGCAATGTTGTCATCAGAGTAGGAGACTCAGCATCATGATCCACCTTGATAGATGTTAGTTGGATGGGTTCGAACCTTGGATGAAATATTATTTCCGTCAAGACTACAGCTACGCCATGTTGACGAGTGGTAAAAAGGACGTAACCTAAATCCAAAGCTTTCTGCCGATTGTCACCATCCAAATAACATCCATCCCGATACATCTCAACGGTGAACCTCTCAGTTTTTTAGCCACATTGCAAAATAGTCGATAGGATTCGAACAGTACTTAAGATTATAGAAGATGAAGTTGGTTACCCTCTAGTGAGTAATTAATGTGCAAAAATCAAGCCTGTTAAAAGTGACTTAAACAACAAGATTATATTATCGTCAGGAAGCTTATAATTATATTAATGATGGATCGTGGCTAGCAGTGGAATCCAAGATGGGCATTTCGTCCTTTTTGGAACTTGTCAGCTGGATGTACCTACATCCCAGTGAGTAACGTTGTTCCCACCAGGATTCGGACTCGCAAGAGATCGCTTCAAACGCCAGCGCGTTATCCACTACACCACCGAGCCACGATAGCCACTTCTTGTGCGACGGGTATAGTTTTAGTATAATTGTTTTTATATGACACCATCGTTGATTGGACCTAATTGATCGGTCTTTATTGGCATATTGGCTCCTGTGCGAATGCCTTGATATTGCCTATATTTCATTTATATATAGTAATGGTGGGCAGTGGCTAGCAGTGGAACTCAGGAAGCGCATTTCGTTCTATTTGGAACTCGTCAGCTGAATGTACCTACATCCCTGTGAGTAATGTTGTTCCCACCAGGATTCGGACTCGCGAGAGATCGCTTCAAACGCCAGCGCGTTATCCACTACACCACCGAGCCACGATAGCCACTTCATGTGCGATGCGTATAGTTTTTAGTATAACTGTCTAAGAACATGAAGGTGAATACATTTAGATATTATTATATACAAACTGATTTAACTCCTTAACCACATGAAGTAGTACATGATAGAATCTGATCACCCATTTACATTACTAAATACCATTCACTTATAGTAGATATTTTTTTGAACATTTCAATGAAAATTTTACAGATGAAGCAGATGAAAAACTTAAAAACGACTAAATTTTTTTCCCTTTATCAATAATATACAAACAGAAAAATTGAACAAAAGTGCATTACGTTCAAATTTCAACACTATAGATAGAATATTAAAGAAAAAACACTTTCATATGTTATAAATATGAACAAAAAGCAGATCAATGGAAAAGAATCGATATGTTTACACTATAATGATACATTGTCTTATAGGATAAATCTAATCAGTAATATCTATTAACATCTAATATATAAAATTTGAAGCGAACACTTCAATAAATTTTATTTAAACAAATTACAATTCTAGAGTCGATTGAAAATCACTTCAGTCGATAAAAACTGTTGTAGAAAGATTTCACTTTAGTGCCTACAGCTTCGAAGTAATCCTTGTTTTTTAGAACTATTAACTCTGGATGACATCACTTGTTAAATAATGATACAACACCTTAGGAATACATTAGGGAGATCATATAATGCAGCAAATTAATGCTGTTTATTCTACAGTCTGCCGATGATAACTTCACGGATTAAAGACAGACTATTTGATTTCGCCTCTTCTATGCACATTCACCAGTTTAACAACCCCTTTAGAGCTACTTACATTAGGCATACAGTTAGGCAAGTCCGTTATCGAATTGCAGTACATTATTGGTCTTCGCTAAGTGAAGAGTAAAAAAGATCAATATGGGGCTTCTTTACTCTTTCATCTGGTTGTAATGATCATCGAATTAGTATTCATAACACTTTTAAAGTGATTTATCACATTCCTTCTAATCTCACTCATACTCTACGAGTTGGCCTTTTACATGCAGTATTATTATCATATTATTTAACCCTTGGGTTCCCAATGCAATATACCATCTCAGTAGTACGTCTCCATTCCACTCTCTTCTCTGAAATCTCTCGAACCTGGCTACACCACTGCCCACAAGCTCTCGTTTCTTCTTCACACCATCTCCTCCATGTCACCCTCACCTCAAACGCCCAACTCACCGTTTCCCATCTGGGTTCCACTCGACTATCCCGCCTGACACGTGTTGTCTCCAATCCGCCTTCTCAGTCTATGCCCAATCCATCTCCACTTCCTTCCAATGCATATTTATTCAGCGATAGCTTCTTCGTTGGTTCGTTACCAGCCAGCCAACCAGACTTCCTTCTTGCTTATTATTACTATTATTATTCTGGCAATCCATCTGATCTTCAGTATCGAACCAGTGTAGGTAGTTGTTGATGAATGTCTGTAGTTTGTTGGAAATGCCTTTCTTAACGTGCCAAGTCTCTGAGCCATACAGAAGCACTGACTTGACTGGTGTTGGTGTTGAAAATCTGGACGTTGTTCACTCTTTATGCTGGCTGAGTGCAGTGCATTAGATCTGCACACTGGTTTCAGGCTAATGAACACCTATGTTGCTGTCTTTCCGATCGTGGCTGCTTTGACGTCGTCGTGTGTGCCTGTGCCGCCTGTAGTTGAAACAGTGCTGCCTAGTCATGTAGGTGAAGGAGGCTACTTCCTTTACGTTTCTCCTGTTGATGGTGATTGGAGTTTATTGTTGTTGTTGGAGTTGTTGTTTGGGTATCTTCATCACCTCTGTCTTGTATACATTCACTGCCTCGCCTCTTCTGTCAACTTGTTAGTTTTCGCCTGTACATCTGAGTTTGTGCCACAAGACATTAGACACAAGTCATCGTTGGCGAAATCCAAATCTTCTAGGTTCTTTTCAGCAGTTCAGCGTATCCTTCTCTTCTCGCTCCTTGCATACAGTATAAGCAGTAGGTATCTAGGTGAAAAACCTAAGTAAGTGTGATCAGAAGACTTTAGTACAACCTCTTTCTTTCCCTTGATTATCTGTATAGTTTATACATAAAAAGCACCACCCTTCCCTTCGTTCATCTTTATTACAGTTTTAGCTCATCTAAATTTACTAATGACGAAAAATAAAGAGACAGACAGGCAAAATCAACGTAGAACCTCGCATGCAGTTGGATCAATTCAAGTTGCTAGACTTAAGAGTAGTATAAAAAGAAGAAATGTACAGGAAAAGAGAAATATAAAGAAAACAAAGTTATGTGAGAGGAGAAACAATTTGAAAGTAACGGTGAGTGAAAATATTCAAGTTTTCAAAGAATTCAACGGGTGAATACATCTACGCTATAGTGACAGGTTTTCAGCCATCTCACCGAAAGTTCGTAAAAACGGAATCTTATTGACTCTTTGACCCCAGGTCAGGTAACCTATATCTTCCCACATGGGCTAAGACCAAAAATCATAGACTTTATCCACAGGTGCTGCGTATTCCACTAACGACAGAACAAAGTATACCAAACTAGAAATGGAAAAGAATCAGTGTTCACATCATTAGGATAGATTGTAAGCCATGTCAAGTAGAATTCTCTAAAGTAGGTGTAAAACCTAGGCACTGTGGTAGAGTTTATAGAATTTCATATTAGATTTGTTAATTTGTTTCATAACACACAGTGATATAGTATTATTTACTTGACAATGCTTCCAGCATAAACTATTGTCCATAATCATATCAGCGTAATCACACCACTTTTAACATCTGATTTTATAATCCTGTCACCTGATATTATTTGCTTTTATTGGAAGTAAAGTTTTCCATATCTCTGGTATAGGTGTTGTCCAGCGTTTTGTACGTTATACTTAGTTTGTCTTTTCGTTGTGCATCGTTGCCTGTACTGGTTTATCTTCTGCTTCACCATCCTCCTCTCCCTGCTCTATCAGCTTCCATGTGTCCGTCGAGATCCATTCCTTGTCCTGTTTCCTCTTACATCGTAATACGGTTATGCAGGTTTCTTTACACATAGCTTTCACATAGTTCCAGTGTTCTTACACACCCCATCCTTCAGGGATGTTGCTCAATGTCTCCCATTTTGTCCTGATGACTGACGTAAAGACTTCCTTTGTAGTTTCGTCCTTCAGTTTCTATACTGGGTGTTAAACTCGAAATGTGGTCTATCACCAACTTCTTTGCAGGCTTCCAACCGGATTTTGAAGTCAGGTTCCCTGCACTAGACAGTGAGTGGTGTGAACCTACATCTGCTCCCCTTCTTCATCTTGTTCCAAGTAGGCTGCGTCTCCACTTTCTTCACATTCACATGAAGTCGATTGGATTTTCAGTGTAGTGTGTCCATCTGGTGAAGTCCATATCGCTACCTTGTGAATATCTTTGTATTTGTACACACTGCCTCGATCAGCATATCGTTGAATGCACAGAAGTCTGCAAACAGTTCTCCATTCTCACTCATCATTTCACCAAGTGCTTCTCCACCCATCATGAGTTCTCTTCCTATGGTGTCCACTCCGAGTTTGGCTGGCATTCATGTCACCCCACCCATTAGAATTTTGATGTCACTGTCGCCAACTGGAGTCTTGTCTATTACTGATTGCTGTTCTCTTTAGACTTCCTCCTTCTTCTCTTCATCTGTATTATTTGTAGGTGCACAGCGTAGCATTGTATGATTGTGACTTTCCTTCCATTTGGTTTGAATTCCTTTTGAGTTGAATCCATCTTGCTGTCATGATCCTGATCCTACAGGAGGAGATTGGTTCGCACTGCATGAGAACCTTCAATGCTGTAGGAAACATCATGATAGCCATTCCGAAACTCAGTGTGCTTGTGGTTGTCGTGTGAGTGACAATATCGGGGTAGATTATTGACCTCCTCTCAAGTTGACAGTTTGGAGAGTCCACTTCCTTTCCATCTTCAAATTCCTCTCAGATTCCAAGCACTTCCATGCCATATCCTCTCATCTCCTTGTTAGGTTCATACATGGTGTGGACATCCCATTTCCCTATCCTTACTCTCGTTTTCAACGAGAGAGAGAAGACACATCGGCCGACTGGATCCTCAGAGGCTTTCACCAACCAGCGTCATTGAGTCTCTCCGATTCCAGGGAGGAATATGTTTGTTCTCATGTTTTATATTTTCTTTACGCTTTGAAGTTTGTTTAGCAGTTGGATTGGTTTTCCGGTCTAGGGTTGCTAGCCGTATGCTCAACCTTCTCTCTTTAACCGGGCATAGGACCGGCTAGTAACTAGTGAACTAGTTAACCAGGTGAGGTTAAAGCCACTGTACTTAACTCCAATATATCAGAGATATAGAAAATTTTGCTACCAATATAAGCAAATAATATCAGGTGACAGGACTTTAAAAATCAGATGTTGAAAGTGGTGTGATTACATTGATATGATTAGGGGGCGATAATTTATACTGGAAACGTCATCAAGTAAATAATTCCGTATCACTGTGTGTTACACATCAAATAAACAAATCTAATGTGGAGTTAGTATTCTCTAATTCATAATATTTAGTAGCACCTTACACATCAAAATTTAAAAAGCTTTTTATGGACAACTCAAGCTAACAGTTAATGAATTCATATATAAGTATAGCATGCCTTCGTTTTGTTGTCACCAAGCGTTATACTGAACGATTCATACTTGAAGTCAGTGTTGTATACCGATGTGGATTTTAAATAAAAAGGCAAATAATCATAAGTTAGTATTTTGTTTAAGCCTTGAAATAAAGATGATAATTGAGAACAAAATCAAGGGTTTAACACAGTGATAAATATTCTAGAGCAACTAGTCTTGTTTTTCAAACCTTAGTTTTTTACAGTTCAATGCATGAAATTTAGTTACTTGTCTTATGTTAACTGTAATGAGAGTAATAGATTAACATTATAACCCATGTCTGTAGAAACAGAAAAAAACTCTTAGATCACGTACAGTTCTAGGCACACCGATATTTCTAGCAGATTTTTTTAAAAAAAAAAACTGTACTCAAAGTGTGTGTATGTGTAGGCGTAAAAAACAGAAACTCACAATTCTGGTACATAGCCCAATTGGATAATCAATGCAGTCAACGAGTGCATAACCAATTCCACTAAAACGACACGTTCTGATTTGATACAGAAACCTGTATATAAGATTTCAACATTATATATAAGTAATATGCTTCAAAGCGATAACAAGATTTATATGATTTCAAATTGGAATATATAAGAGAACTGTCATGTTATATAATTGTGTCTGAGTATGCCTCTCAATAGTTTACTGTGATAAACAGTGGTGACTAAAGTTTAGTGTTCAATCTGTGCATAAGAGTTTTGCTTGAACTCAAACCTACTGAATATCTGAAGAAGACGATATAAACAAACTGACGGTGGAGTAACGATCAGGTTATTCAAATATTCTATCGCTGTAACTATCATTATGCACTTCATTTCTCTCAATTCCATAAACATGCAATTACCGTTACAAAGAGTAGAATTGGTCTAGTTTACTTAGTGGCTAGAGGTGGAATCCAGCACACATGCTCCGTCCTATTTTGGATTTGTCAGCTGCATGCACATGTATCCCAGTGAATGTTTTCCCAATGAGATTCGAACCCAGCGCGTTTTACTCCAAATATCATAGCGTTATCCACTGGGCCAATGAGGCACAAGAAATACCTTTTTTGGAACGGTTGTCAGTTATTTATTGATATGATTTCTTAGCGGCCTAGTGAGTAACTCTTTGATGTTTGAAGCGATGAATACTGGGTTCGAGTCTCAGTGGAAACAATATCACTTACTGGGGTGCAGGTACATTTAGCTAATGAGTTATAAATAGAAAGAAACGCACGTTCTGAATCCTAACACTAGCCACCAAGTAAACTATAACTGTTCGACTAGGAACCCAAGGGACAAATAACAATAATAATAAATTTCCCTAGTGCAGCCGAAAATACATAACTTTGTTATGATTCACTATTAAGCGCCCGGTATGAAAGATGTACCCAGTTACTATTCAGTAACAAAGAAGACAATGCAAGAACAACTTAGAAGCTTACAGATAGAACTGACGCGATAATATAGGTATTAGACTTCCTAGACACCCAACAGACACGACACTAGGATGCTGTCTTGAAATCTCTAAAAATAATCAACAATCTTATCCGTTCTGCTTCATCCTTCTTGAAAAAAACTAATCACGTAAATATATGAAGGAATTCACTAAACAAATGAGGAAGAAGGCAATAATTAAGTTTCATTCTTGAATATCTTCATAAGCAGAAGGCACAACAATACTTTGAGAAACCAAGTGTACGGTAAAGCTAAAGACATCGGCCAAGTTTTGGACTACAGCAGCTATATTTCAAAAGGAATGTTACATAGAAACACTATTCTTAAGAGACAAGACGCATTGTAGCACTGAGGCACTAAAGAAAGTGGGAGTAGAGCACTTGTAAAAAGTGTTCGAAGCCAATGATTATCGACTCAACTTTATTACAAAATGCTTATCGACAGAAAGGAGGACAACTCAATTACTTAAAATGAACAAATGAATCACTCTATGCTACATGACTGATGTCTAAGGAACCATCAACCGATCGCTCTAACCATTGGAGATTTGACTGGCAGACAAACCAGTGACATCACTAGAGAATATGGTGTGCAAGCCGAATGAGGACATGATAAACATAATTTACAAAATCAACTGAGACGATTGGCAAAAACACTACACTGAACAATCTAACTCTCCAATTGCTCAAAGTATTCGTGAACACTGACTAGCGGTAAAGCAACATGACACAGCACCTTGGTCTTATTGCCCACAGACAATCATGTTCAACTGAAAGAAAAAGAAAATCCTTCAAAAGGCAGGTTCAAAAGCTGCAACATGATTTTTATAGGTATAACATCCCAATGAAAAGTCAATCAATAAGTACGTGGATACAAACCGAATCTGCAATCTATTTAGGGAAGAGAACAAACACTCGTCAACAAAGTACAAAACGGCTGAACAAATCCATGTTAAAGAACGGTGCGATTATAACAAATAGGACAGTTTCACTCTAACAAAGAAATCTCTTCCACGACTTACAAGTGAACAACACAAAAGAAGCTAGCAGTAGAATCCAAGACGTGCGTTCGTGCGTCCTACTCAGAATTCGTCAACTAGATGCGCCTGCCTCCCAGTGAGCGGTGTTGTTCCCACTCGAACTCGAACTCATGACAAATCGGTCCAAACGCCAGAGCGTTATCCACTAGGCCACCGAGCCACAATAGCTGCTTCTTGTGCGATTGGTATAGTGTTAATGTTGTTGCTTGTAATATCCTGTTGTTGGTTGGAGCCAACTGACCGGTCTCTATTTGCATATGGGCTTGTGTGTGGATGCCTTGTTATATGCTTGTGTTCGGATTATATATAATAATGATAGATTATTTGTGTAACATTTCAATATGCTTTACTTCTTCATGAAAATTTAGTCCTAAAGATACCACCAAGCTTGGTGACGAAACTTCTAAGGTAAAATAACAAACCTCAGATAATCCGAAATCATCATCATCATCATAACCTCAGACAACAAATATTTTCCATCATTTCAATAGCATGTTATTCTCTCGATTATTCTTGTTCTTTGTACACGTATGTAAACCAATGTATATCAGGAATAGTGACTGATGAAAATCCACTCAAAAGAATCATTGAATATTAAAGAATATAATCACTTACACTACCACGTAATAAATCTAATAATGCTTCCAAGTAAATAGGGAATTTTTTGATACAATAATGAGCAAATAATGCATCAGCTTGTACACAGTCATAAAGTACCTAAAATAGAAGGAGAGAAATAACATAAAGGGATAAGAAAAATTAACCAAAATTAAAATGGTATTATAAAAAGTGAACATGAATTCATCATTCAAATGAAGTGAGTATTTATCTTTCAAACAAGTATCAGATCAGATTGAATTGGATCAGTGCTCCTTCATATGCACTATAAATAATTTCATTGAATCTGATATAAGAAGGAAACTAAATAAGTTGAATGTTATGAAAGAAAAAAAGCCTGTTTTGAACAGTTTACATATACTACAACTTCATAAAAGCAAGCGAATACCTGAGAAACCTAGTAAAGTATCAGTTCATCTACTATCTACCTAGATCAGATCATATTAACCATGAACGAACTGTAGATTTGAAAGATTGAAAAGCCTGCTTAAACTCATGAAGAAATATAGATTTGATTTCAATGAAATCTAAAAGTAAATAGATAACTATAACCTCACTGGTCACATTTATAATTGTCTTTTTAATGAATAACAATGGCGGTTTTTACCTCAGTACACAAAAGCAGATTTAATGCATAAGATGAAAAAGAAACCTAACAGCCCTGAGATCGATCCTTAACGAAGTCATATGGTCGTACTGCTGAGGACGAAACAGCTGTCTAGTGCTTCCAGGTTTTCAATGGTTCTCCAACTAATGTCAGTACATGATGAATACTACCTTAAAAATAAAATACTTATCGACCTGTAACTAAACAACTAGATAACACTCACTAGTTATATACCGAAGTTCTAATGAGAAGTTGCAACCTGTGGGATCAACCAGTCAGTAGTGATGCGGTTGCCAACCACAGACCTTGCTGGGTAGTCACGATATACTCCAAATTTAATAATTCCCATTGTAACATTAAGAACAAGATATTCAGCGAAGAGACTCTTTTCAACGAATTTATTTTCAAGCTGTACAATCGTATATATATATATGATATTTGGAAAAAATTATATCCTGTGAGGAAAACTAAACACTATATGGTGATGACAATAATAATAGAGCGGGTGATGACATAGGCATTTATGATTATAATAACAATTGAAGTGCGAATGATAACAAATAGATTATGTAATATATGGAATGGTACATAGAGAGTATATAACTCAGAAGGGGGTGAAAAAATTGTTAAAAATGGTAAATCAATTAAGTATTATGTAATGGCATTAGACAAATTGGACAAGATGAAGTCAATGTTTTCTAAAAGGATTAAGACAATTAAGTGAAACAACACCGGAAACTAGTTGAAGTGAAGGCGATTATAATAACAATAATAGTGATAAAGGAAGGATACAAAGGTTAAATTAACAAAGTGGGAGGGGGAGCTAATGGGGTGGGAAAATGTTATGGCCATGATAAAGACAGTGACTGCACATACTTCTTTTGTACACACAGATCAGGTCTTAGTTCATGAATAGCTAAAGCTGCTTGAAAGAGCTTTTGTTGAGGTGCACATTTAATGTCCAATTCAGTTTCAATAATGAAATCTATAGACAGAAAGATGGAATTGCGATGGGGTCACCATTGGGACCACTGCTAGCAGATTTCTTCATGTCGAAACTGGAAAATTCAAAACTTCGTCAAACTATTGATAGCTTTGACTTTTATAGAAGATATATGGACGACACGTTTGTTATTTGCGACAAAAATGTAGACCTCGACGACGTGCTTCGTTCATTCAATGAATGTCATCAAGCCCTCAAGTTTACTATAGAGAAGGAATCAGAATCAACTATTCCTTTTCTTGATGTGCTTCTCACCCGACGTCAGAATGGATACCTTAAAAGATCCATCTACAGAAAACCAACGTGGAACGGACAACTAACTAATTTTTATAGTTGGGTGCCCATCAACAGAAAAAGAAATCTTATTCACTCTCTTTGCTATCGAATAAGAAGTATCTGTAGTGACGATTGTATCGAGGAAGAGCTATCTTTCTTAAAAAGCATACTTGTCGAAAACGGTTACCCTAGCCGTTTTATTGATAAAAATATGCGGGAAAGAAACACTAAACCAGTCATCCACTCGGTCTCAAAGAAAAGATTGTTTATGAGCCTAGAGTTTAAAGGAGACCTAGCATCGGATGTACTGAAGAATCGTCTTACCAGATCAATCAATAGGACTTTCTTCGCAGCAAGACTCCAGTTGACTTTTACCAGCCGCAACCTATTCTCCACCTGCGTCAAAGACAAGCTTCCTCGTTTGGCCGCCTCTATGTGCATCTACCAGTTCACCTGCTCTTGTGGAGCAAGGTACATCGGCCGTAGCCAGAGAATGCTTTCTACACGTATACGAGAACATGTTCCTGCTTGGTTTTATAAAGGTGAAAGAAAGTCTGTTAGAAGTTCGATTCTAGAACATTTGATTGACTTCCATCACACAACAAATCCAGACGATGACTTTGAAATTATTTATCGAATTCGCCCAAACCTCCCACGTTCTCTTCGTTTTCAACTCCTTAAAACAGCGGAGGCTTTAGCTATTCATGAACTAAGACCTGATCTGTGTGTACAAAAGAAGTATGTGCAGTCACTGTCTTTATCATGGCCATAACATTTTCCCACCCCATTAGCTCCCCCTCCCACTTTGTTAATTTAACCTTTGTATCCTTCCTTTATCACTATTATTGTTATTATAATCGCCTTCACTTCAACTAGTTTCCGGTGTTGTTTCACTTAATTGTCTTAATCCTTTTAGAAAACATTGACTTCATCTTGTCCAATTTGTCTAATGCCATTACATAATACTTAATTGATTTACCATTTTCAACAATTTTTTCACCCCCTTCTGAGTTATATACTCTCTATGTACCATTCCATATATTACATAATCTATTTGTTATCATTCGCACTTCAATTGTTATTATAATCATAAATGCCTATGTCATCACCCGCTCTATTATTATTGTCATCACCATATAGTGTTTAGTTTTCCTCACAGGATATAATTTTTTCCAAATACCATATATATACGATTGTACAGCTTGAAAATAAATTCGTTGAAAAGAGTCTCTTCGCTGAATATCTTGTTCTTAATACTCCAAATTGACAGAATTACAAGACTGTGGACCCAGTAGCTGAATGGTTAACGCGTTCACTGTGAAACCTAAAGGTTGTGAGTTCGATTTCTGGTGAGTAGGGTTGTGAGTGGGTAGTCCTGAGGAGTCTGTTACTAAGAAGAGAGTGGATAACGCTGCTGTAAGGTTTTCAATGGTTTGGCAAGTGATTTCAGTTTATGATGAATACCATCTTAAAAATGAAATCCTTAGTTTAAAAAAACATTATTATCTTTTACAGAAAATTTGAGAAAAGCAACTACTTTTTCTATTCGATTATAGAAAATTTTATGATAAATTCTACAAATAGTTAAACAACTGGAAGAACGTAATCTAAATAATCTTTAGGCTAAACCTGCTTCATGCTTGCAGGCATTAAAAATATGCAAACACACATATACACACAACGCTCAGTATTACTTACGAAAATCGCCACTCAACAACAATCAAATGAAAGATAATTTAGTTACTATCATGGAAAGATATTGGAAAAGGGAAAAAAATTTTTTTCCCAAATAACTGCCCTCAATCTAATTTTACCACTCAAATACAAAGAAGGAGATAACGAAAACAAGCTACTCAAAATATGTTTTCAGTAGATATAAATTGATGCATAGATTACCGTATTAGAGTCTCATGATTTCAGTCTAGGGAATAACACATTTTCCGGACTATATTTCTGTTTAACTTCGTCAGGTAAGTGTATAATGATTTCTAAGACCATTAAAAACTCAGTAGATGAATCAAATCAAACTGTTTCCAGACCAGTATTCAAAAGTCATGAAAAGATTATAGATTATACGCGTGACTTTTACCTACTATAACTGTTACACAAAACAGTGTGGTCTATCCATAGGTGGGCTAAAATCAGAAATCAGTTGGTCTTTACAATATATATATAGGCTGCAATTTATACACACTGTTTTCTTGAGAGGATAAAAAGATACATTTTTGATAAAACACATTCATTACAATGGTAATCAGGGAAAAAATTACTTCAGTATCTGACAAAAACACTCAACGTGTAGCCGAAAGAAACTGGTAATCCAATCCAATCGGAGTAAGTTCAAATTTTACTGAACGGAAAATAAATCCGAAGGCGTGAATGACCGAAAGTGTACAATTCGTTAACCAAGCAAAAACGTCACCAAATCTAACTGAATAAAGAAAAATATCCGCAAAAAACGAGACACATGTCCTGACTTCCACTATTAGCCACCAAATTGACAACAATGGAATGAATATCCAGACAGTATCGAAGCGTCCATATAGCAGCCCATTCGCCAACAGAAGTTGGGCAATTCCACGCAGTATGGTGACGAGAAATTACAAGTATCAACAAATAACAGGCGTGAAGGGGGATATAACTGATCGACTGAAAAAATCAACATTAAACCTCCCACAGAGGTGTATTAGCTCAACTTGCCACATGTCACTGTAGTACAAGAAGAACAGGTGGATAGAAAAAGAGTGATACTAAATAAGGCAAATTAGTGTGAGATAATAAGCAAGCTGAAGATAACGGTTAATAAAAATGTCAAGGAGTGATCGATTTTCAGCCATGTTACTATGAATTCTTAACCACTGGTTCCCTTCATCTCAAAGACTCCAACCGGGCGGTCCAAATCTCCTCACACGATTAACATTGACTGTATGCTTTTATATGTAAGTAGATGAATAAACTGCGGTTGATATCACCAACAGAAAACTACGAGGTGATTTATGATACATACAAAAAAATAGTTTAGCGATAATATACCAGTTAGCAAGCTCACTTATAGACTAACATCTAAACCATATACATATACTAATAGTATGTCATAAAAATCAAATATATTTAAAAGGGTTAAAGTCAAAAGAACACGCTTTTTCAATGGACTAAACTAAATAATAAATGAGAAATCAGAAGGTGAAAGGCGTTTTTCATTGACAAAGCATA